GCCTGTGTGCACCATCTGTCTACACATGATTTGGTTTAATCTGATCAGGTCTTTTGTCAGCTACTAATGAATGTTTTACTAATGCCAATGTGTATCTGCTATCTGCAGCTGAGGGGAGACATATAATTCCCACAACAGAAAATGGTTGTGAGTAATCATATACACATATATGATGTCTTATACACATTAATGGGCCTTTAGTCACATCTATTATCATAAGAGTTAAATATTGCCTACCACACTGTAACCATGTGGTTATATACCAGTATATGGAGACAAACGTTTTTACTTTTTATTATTTGACAGGGGGCATTATTTTATTAATCGTTGTCTAAATATAGTGTATTATATAAAATCAGTTCCTTATTAACATATTTCTACATGTTTATGCTTTTTAAATTTGATCATACAATGAAAGGATTTTAAAAATATATATGTAGAAATATTTACGAATATTTTATGACCGTATTTAAAAGAAGTATTAAAGATTCTGCACTTTTATATGTAATATTTGTAGATTTGTGGACAGACTGAGGACAAAACCTGTCATTCGGGGGGAAGTCGTGGCCTAATGGTTAGAGTTAAAAAAAATATATGTAGAAATATTTACGAATATTTTATGACCGTATTTAAAAGAAGTATTAAAGATTCTGCAATTTTATATGTAATATTTGTAGATTTGTGGACAGACTGAGGACAAAACCTGTCATTCGGGGGGAAGTCGTGGCCTAATGGTTAGAGAGTCGGACTCGTAACCCAAAGGTTGCGGGTTCGAGTCTTGTACCGGCAGGGATTGTAGGTGGGGGGAGGGAATGTACAGCGCTCTCTCCCACCTTCAATACCACGACTGAGGTGCCCTTGAGCAAGGCACCGAACCCCCAACTGCTCCCCGGGCGCCGCAGCATAAAAATGGCTGCCCACTGCTCCGGGTGTGTGTTCACGGTGTGTGTGTGTTCACTGCTGTGTGTGTGCACTTTGGATGGGTAAATGCAGAGCACTAATTCCGAGTATGGGTCACCATACTTGGCCACATGTCACGTCACAATTCAAAAAACAGTTCCTTATTAAAAATATTTCTTTTTTTTTTTTAATGCATTTAAATTTGCGTCTTGTTTATTTTTCAGTGCATTTTTACACTCATTGTTAAACTGATAATATAATTTGTATCGAAAAATGTTTTACTAAGTCAAATGAAAATGCCAAACAGAAGCTTATTTTGACAGACAGCTACTTTGACTTACCTTGCGTGGGCGCACTGCTTGGACTCCAAGCTGACCAGAGCTGGACCACGAAGAATGGGCTCCAGCAGAGGGTGTACACCAGGATGATAATGAAAGTCATTTTGACAGTCTTCATCATTGCGCTTGATATCCCTTTAGAGCTGGAGTGCCCATCACCCGTGCTGCCCTGCAAGGCTTTCCGCTTCGTGTTGAAATAGATCCCTGCGCAAATCTTTATCTGACAATACATCAAGATTACGGCTGGCAGAACAAACACGGACAGAGTGATCCACGTTATGTATATTCTGCCTCCCCAGGGCTCAATAAATGTCGCCCAGCAGTCGAAAACATTCTTCTCAACTTCTTGGAGAGAGAAGATGAACATCTGCGGAGCGCTGAACGCCAGGGAGATGAGCCATGCTGCGCTTATGGCAACATACCTGCGGAAAGACCCCCTGAAGAACGACACCATGGGTTTGCAGACCGCGTGATAGCGATCTATGGTCATGGCCACGATCATATACGTGGACGCGAACATCCCGACCACTTGAAGATACTTAACTGCTCTGCACACCAGATCTGAGCCTTTGAGCAGGTGCGTAATCTCCATGGATAACTGCGGCAGGACTTGGAAGAAAGCGACCACCAGGTCAGCCAGGCACAGGTGCAGAAGAAACAGCTGAGTTCGAGTACGTCTTTTCCATCTTTTCCAAAGGGCATGGAGGAGGAATAAGTTGCTAAATGATGCCAGCACGAAAATGCACCCAAGAACTGCAGCTTTCACGAGCGCAAAGTGTCCCTTGGATAAACCAAGCGCTTCCTGCGCGCTGGAGCAGTTACCCCTGCTGCAATTAAGGTTATCAGCCATTGTAAATGTAATCCTACCTTAGAAACCTAATGCAACTGTTTAGTGTGTTATTTGAAAAGGTGTTTGTCTCCTGCAGTTGAGCGCTGACGCACAAGGCACAGTGTGCTAGGCGCAAATTATTACTGATGACTCCAGTGTGACTACCGGTACCTGTGTTCACGCACGTCAGGCATTCAGCCATACATTCAATTACGCACCAAACAAACACTTGACATAATTTTTCTTCATTTCGGCTAATTAATATTTTTGAGGTCAGTGGCATTACCAAAATAGCCTTGTGATTTAATACCCATAAGGTTTTAAGCATATTAATATAATCTATGATTTTATTTGGCATGGAAGTGATAAAGGAGTACTGCAGTGTGATAAATATTCTATATAAAATGATTTTAAACTGAATTTTCTATTTTCTGTATAATGCATATTAAGATGTAGATGATGCAGATGACTTTGTTTCGTTATCAGAACTGATTTGGAGAAATGTAGCATTACATCACTTGCTCATCAATCGATCTTATGCAGTGAATGGGTGCCGTCAGAATGAGAGTCCAAACAGCTGATAAAAACATCACAATAATCTACAAGTAATCCACATGACTTCAGTCCATCAATTAATGTCATGTGAAGCGAAAAACAGCTTATAAGAAAAAAAAATCCATCATTAAGGCATTTTTACTTTAAAATACAAGTCTATAATCCATAGTAATGCTTGCACCAGTGAAGAAGTCCATCCCCTGTTGCAGGGGCATATAGCAACTGGAGGGGGGGGGAAGAGGGACAGAGTGCTAGGGCCCAGAGGCTGAGAGGGACCCGACTGATTTCTCTCCTGATTCAGACGAGACAACAGTCTTTTGCTTTACAAGGCATCAATTGATGGACTGGATTCATGTGGATTGCTTGTGGATTATTGTGTTGTTATTATTATTATTATGTTTTTATCAGCTGTTTGGACTCTCATTCTGACGGCACCCATTCACAGCAGATAATCCATTGGTGAGCAAGTGATGTAATGCTGAATTTCTCCAAATCTGTTCTGATAAAGATTATAAGAATAATTCCTTTTAACCTATCCTGATTTAAAAAAACACCCATACCCATATTTACTGTAAAGAGTGAGAGAGCGACAAGTAACCAAACCCGTCATATATGGTTGTTTTTCTAACAGTAAAGTTCATGTTAAAAGTGCATATTCTAGAGAACAAATTCTAGCGTATTTCAGATTTAATTAAACAGAACATTTTGATGTCACTAAAGTAAAGTCAAGCTTTTGATCAGCATTCATTACTGCCTTCGTGTGTGTGTGTGTGTGTGTGTGTGTTTTTTTTAACTTTCAAAACACTGGTAATGAATTGACTTTGATATTTGATGAGCACTTTGACTAAAGAGGCTTGTGACTAATAAGATGCTATGACTATGAATTATATTATATGAATTATATTATATTGTGTGTGTTTTTCTTTTTCATTTTATTGCAGACAAAACATAGCTTTTAACTATGACTCTAGCACAAGCACTAAAACAATTTCAACATTTTCTACAGACCTCACCTGCAAATAATGGATCAGTTTATCAAACTTTGAGCAAATAAAAACAAAAGAAATAATTACTATTAACATTTATAATATTAACATTTATAATATTAACAGTAACAATGAACAAAGGTAAAAGGTAGATATTATTAATGCAATTTACAGGGCACTTCAAAGTTGAAGGAATTGAAAATAAATAATTGTAAAAAAATAAAAACAATATTAGTCAGTTTGAAAGACTAAATACTGAAATCTTAATCAGAGTGTGTGTCGGCATAATTTGGAAATCTGTTGTAATGAATGAATTATTTACCATGCAATCTAAAAAATACTATTATACATAAATATAGAATATAATGTGCTTATTGCTTACATTATATTATGATTTATCGTTCAATCTTAAATTATAGTATTGTCTTTGGTGAAAAAGCAGTTGTTTAAAGTTAATTCTGAAGTGACTGCATGCGTTTATCTGCCTAGTTACAGACATGTACAGTTGCATGATCCTCCAGTAAAATTCGCATTCCAGGGGCTAAATATCAAGTTATTGGGGTCGCTTCAACCCGCAGACATGAAAAACAATCCGCGGCAACAGTGTTAAAGGTGTCATATGCAAAACATGAAAACCCATTATAAACGAGGCATTTGTTGCATCCAGTGGGGACATAATTACGGATTATAATGACTTATACTGTCTTTTTATACGTTGCGTTGCATCGCGCCGCGTAAACATAAAACCATGTCTGCATTTGTGATCGGAGAAATGACAAACAAACGGCGGTCCCGGCGAAGGAGCGGTGAAAACGGTGAAAGCCGATCCGGCGATCCACAGCGGGAAGTTGATGTATTTCCTCAGCGACCAGCAGGGATCAGCTCTAGGAATGAGGAAGCGGATATCGTCCTCTTTTGGAAGACCAAACAAAGTAGTTTCGCTTTCACAACGAAGCACACAGCGTCTTCAGGACATGGCGGCAGCAACAATACTACAGCGAGAATAAAAGTTATGCCTGCTTTCTTTGCATGAATATTTAGGCAGCAGTTATGCAAATCTTTCCACATCTGATGTAGACATGTGGGGGCGTGTTAGAACCAGCCTTATAGGTAGGCGTGGTTGACTCTTAACTTTTATAAAGAATATCTCTTTGGATTTGAGACTTTAGTCATTGCAACTTTACAGATCTACTTTATGCATCAAGAGCTTGTAACACTTAAAAGAGAAAGGAAAAATTGAAATCGCATATGACCCCTTTAAAGTAGCGCAAGTCCGCGGGAAAACCGCGGACTTGGCAACACTGAACTCTGCGTTACCTCAGTGGGTCACGTGACTATACGGCGTTTTGCTATTGGTCAGCTCCGTACCGGGGAAGTTGTTTGTGTCAAAAAAGCAGGAAGCGCACATTTTAGGGGCGGACATTGGGTTTTATTAACTGAATTTCTTTGGAATATCTCACTGAAAGTCATTTGTCTTTGTCTAGCAGGAAATAATCTCTAATGTCTCTTTAATTTTTCTCGAAGACAATATCTGTAAGTATAACCATGTCTTTTAAAATTTATTTTAGATTTCCGTCTAAGTTAACTGATCAGAAGTCAGTTAATAATCACCACTAACTTACTGATTAACCACACTTTAAATGTAAGTGTGTCTAAAAATTAGGTGTGTCGAATACATTTTCTTATTGCTTGGCGTCCTAGTAGTTTCTCTGCTGAACTAATATAATTATATTTTTTGGATGTGTACGCTTGCTTGCATGAATTATTCACAACATTTTATATTTGTACAGTGAGAGACAGACCGTTTTTCTTCTTTATTCGTTGTTTTTCTTTTTCTTATTTTCTACACGTACTTTAAAACTGTATATCCACATCAGTATTTATGTTAATAAAGTCTTAGTTTTGGTTTTAGAACACTTGTTAAACAGGTATGCTAGTCATCATTATCTTTTGAACTGTTATCGGTTGTATGTGATACGTTTGATAAAGCCTGGTATATGCACTACCAGTTTAAAATGTTTGGACACAGTTGACTGCATTTGTTCATTAGTTTGAAGGCAGTTGTTAGGCACTATGCAGTGTAGAATTTGTAGCCATGACTGTTATTTACTATACAGCAGGTCCCGAAGTAATAAAAATATCAAGGACAAAATATATTATTTTAAAAACGTTAGTTTATTGAACAAATTCATCCTTGTGGCATCCTTCCGCTGGATGATATAGTGCCGTGCTTAACTGAATGTTGCGCAGCAGAAGGTGTTCAGAGCTTCTACTCAGCTGTTACTATTTAAGTGTAATAATTAGTAATAGTTATTTATTAACACATTTATTATTATTATTATTAAAACTTTAGTTTAAATTAACATCCTTCCGCTATAAAATATAGTTCATGGCACAACTGAACATTGCTATGCAACTGAATTAGCGATCAGCCCTGCGCAGTGATATGATTCAGCTTTAGTGGATTTTATGTGCTGACCAATCAGCAGCTACTATAGCATTTAAAAATCAAGGAGCAGGTTGTTGTCTAAAAAGTTCATTTCCAAATGGACCATGGGTAGATGTATGATTTTTATTTTTTATTTTTTGCATTACAGAATTCTCCCATCCTAAAGGCCTGTTTCACACCAAGAATGTTAACTATAAATATAACTATATTAGTGTCCACATCAACGCACAATAAAGTAGTTTTTTGCAAGAACATGCTGCAGTTATGTCGACTTCCCCAAATCGTTCCACTTCCACAAATCGTTCTGAAAGTGGTCCAGTGATGTAGTTTCTGTTGTTATCGTTACAGTTGTGGTGTGGACTTCTCTATTCTCATAGAATTATAGAATATTAGAACTTGGTGTGGAACGGCCTCAAGTCTTGCAATGTTCTGAATAATTCTAAAAGAAATAATCATGGTTACTAAACCAATAAGTGTTCAGAATTAGGGTTTTCTGTAAAATGGTCCCTGGTTTAGTAATTAAAATGCTTAATTTGTATGCGCTCTCCCACATAGTTCATTCAATGCATCCTGCCCTGTTGCACTAAGTAACTGTCAATCAAGTGCAGTGTTCCTCAGAAGAGCACCGCAGCTTATGTGGAGATGGAGGAACGCGCTCGGAGCTGCCTGCTGCGCTCCAAAGACACTCTAGAGCAGGACATTAAAGCCTCCTACTTGATGGACCACATGGTCAGCGACGACATCTTGACGAATGATGAAGAAGCAAGGGTGCTTGGCAAGGTCTGTTGTGGTGTTCAACATGCTGCTTTTTACATCTATAAAAAGTGAATGTAAGTCAAGTTTTCCTTTTTCCTGCTTCTCCAGCCTACTAGAAGAGAGCAGGCCACAGCCCTGCTAGAGGTGCTATTGAGGAAAGACAACAGGGCCTACATCTCCTTCTACAATGCGCTGGTCAGGGAGAGTTATGGAGATCTGGCCAACCTCCTCCATAGTGACTTGCCTCTCCTCAGCCCTGAGGGAGAGCGAAGCTTTGCTGATGGAGTGTCTCCCTCTGGTAACCACTTTAGCCACTTGGACATGTATGAACTTGTTTTTGCTTAGTATGAGATGCTGGAGGATTTGTGTGCTTTTATTCTAGTCCAGGCAATTCTGAGTGAAGGTGGGGTGCCTCAGAGACCTGTGGTGTTTGTGAGCCGACCCACTCTGCTCAACCTGGTCCGGGAGAAGCTGTACTGGCTGAAGAATACACCAGGCTGGGTCACTGTGTTTGGCATGGCGGGCTCAGGGAAGTCTGTGATGGCTGCCGAGGCTGTTCGAGACCATGCCCTTATTAAGGGTAATGACTTAACAGTGTTTAGGTTTTTGTGATTTTTATTATATTTTCATATTTTTAAATGCACACCTTTCTAATATTTCATTTGGGTGTTTCTTGAGATTTGTGGATGTATGTGTTTATTTATTCTCTTAGGTTTTAGTGTTTTTGTTTTAGCATATTTTTAATTTGTATTTATTTGTTTTTTTTGTGCTTTATTTTATTGTAATTATATAATAATATTCTTAAAGTGATAGTGGACAAAGTAATTCAATTAAAAAAAAATTTTTTTTTAAGGTGTGAACGTATGTTTTAAGAGTATTTCTAATAGACCACAGGGTTAAAAGTGCTCATATAACATTTTATTTTTCTTTCTGTTGCTCAGAGTGTTTTCCAGGTGGCGTTCACTGGCTTTCTGTCGGCCAATGTGAGCGGACAGACCTGTTGGTAAGGATGCAGTCTTTATGTTTCCGTTTGGAGCAGGGTCAAAGTTCAGATGCCAGTCTGCGGCCACCCTGCTCCGTGGAGGAGGCCAAAGATTTTTTTTAAGGTGTGAACGTATGTTTTAAGAGTATTTCTAATAGACCACAGGGTTAAAAGTGCTCATATAACATTTAATTTTTCTTTCTGTTGCTCAGAGTGTTTTCCAGGTGGCGTTCACTGGCTTTCTGTCGGCCAATGTGAGCGGACAGACCTGTTGGTAAGGATGCAGTCTTTATGTTTCCGTTTGGAGCAGGGTCAAAGTTCAGATGCCAGTCTGCGGCCACCCTGCTCCGTGGAGGAGGCCAAAGAGCGTCTACGGTTTCTAATGCACCGCAGGTTCCCCAGGTGAGTGCAGGAAGGATATGATTTCAGTGCACTTTATTTACACAGAACATGTACGTCCGTTGATAATCAGACCCTTTCTCCTTTCATTTTCTTCTATCAGATCCCTGCTGATTCTGGACGATGTGTGGGACAGCTTTGCTCTCAGGTCCTTTGATATCCAGTGCAGAGTTCTTCTGACCACGCGTAATCGAAGTCTGGCCGACTCTGTGAGCGGTGAGAAGTTAATTTTAGTGCATCCAGTTTGCATTTCACAGATGGATTCTGGACCAACTTCACAGAGTGGTTATTCCTAGGTTGGATCTTGTGCCTGCTTGCGTATGAAATTTGAATTAAATCCAAGTCAACTTCTGAACTAAATGAAATTACGTAAAACTCTGATAACCCCGAGAGCAGCTGTTCTTGGAGATAAGCTATTTTCAGCTGAGGTTATGAGAGAAATGTTCCTTTGTCTATATTGTTGCGGCTATCTTGCATAATTAATTTAACATACTAATTTCATTCAAAAGTAAGGGTTTATACTGTTTGTGTGTGCGCTTCTCTCTGTTTGTGTGTAGGTACAAGGTTTGAAGTGCCCGTTGAGAGCGGTCTAGATGAGGAGAAAGCCCTGGAAATTCTTGCTTTGTATGTCAATGGGAAACCACAGAAACTTCCACAACTTCACAGAATGGTTATTCCTAGGTTGGATCTTGTGCCTGCTTGCATATGAAATTTGAATTAAATCCAAGTCAACTTCTGAACTAAATGAAATTACGTAAAACTCTGATAACCCCGAGAGCAGCTGTTCTTGGAGATAAGCTATTTTCAGCTGAGGTTATGAGAGAAATGTTCCTTTGTCTATATTGTTGCGGCTATCTTGCATAATTAATTTAACATACTAATTTCATTCAAAAGTAAGGGTTTATACTGTTTGTGTGTGCGCTTCTCTCTGTTTGTGTGTAGGTACAAGGTTTGAAGTGCCCGTTGAGAGCGGTCTAGATGAGGAGAAAGCCCTGGAAATTCTTGCTTTGTATGTCAATGGGAAACCACAGAAACTTCCAGAAGAGGCCCGTAGCATTGTGAGCGAATGTAAAGGTACAAATCACCCTTTTTATGCAAAACTGAAGCAAAAGCTGATCAAACATGACCCAGCCACAAGAACAGCATTTCTCACCCACTTATTGTCAATTAGGGCTGGGTATTGTCCGCTACCTCGCTTTACAATGTCATATTCACTTTATAATAGATATCTTGCTTGTAACTGGTTCTGAAATTATTTTTAAGGTTAATAATTACAAGTTTAATGACTTGGCCTTAAATTCATTTATTTTTATTTTTATTTCATACTGTATTTTTATATAAAATGTATTGTATTTTTTTATTTCAATAATTTATTTTCTTTATCTATTGCCTTTGAATAACAATTCAGTAATAGTACTTAATACTATGGTATAATAATGAAGTACCATTAGTGATCTACATTACACCTCTGACCATTGTAATCGTTTCTCGTCCTGTTAGGTTCTCCTCTGGTTGTTTCTCTGATTGGAGCTCTATTGAGGGAGTTCCCTGACCGCTGGAGCTACTACCTGCGACAGCTGCAGAAGAAGCAGTTCAAGCGGATCCGTAAGTCATCGTCCTACGACTATGAAGCTCTGGACCAGGCCATGGATGCCAGTCTGCAGGTTTTGGAGCCAGAACACAGAGATCTGTACAGAGACCTGAGCGTCATGCAGAAAGACATCAAAGTGCCTGCTAAGGTCAGACAGAAAATCTGTTGCCAACTACTAAAGTAATGGTAGATGCAGAATCAATGTCATTTATTTTATTCATAATTTAAATTGTACTTCCAAGTGTGACACAAGGATGGATATTTTAATTGCTTTTTTTCTGTAAATTAGTCTTTTTTTTTTTTTTGGTTTTTAATCATTTTATTTCCTTCATGCAGGTTCTGTCAGTACTGTGGGGTCTTGAGTTGGAGGAGGTGGAGGACATCCTACAGGAGTTTGTGAATAAATCTCTGCTGTTTCGAGACTGTAACCAGCGACCATACCACTATTACCTTCATGATCTGCAGCTGGACTTTCTCGTCGAACAGAATCGTGATCAAATTGCTGTGAGTTATGTTGCACCTCTTTTTAAGAGAGCCCACCAGAGAACAAGGTCTGAATTGTTATTTCCTGTAGGAACTACATAAAAAGATGATCCGTCAATACCAGCAGTTCTACAATGAAAGGCCACCCAGCTCTGGAGATATAGACTGCTTGTATTGGTACCGCTTCCTCCCATACCACATGGCTAAAGCAGGACTGTCTAAGGTAATGTTACAGTATAGCCTACACTAACATTTCCACTCCTCTGGAGAGTATGTAGAATCTTCTAATGATTACTGTTGCATCTGAACATTCAGTTCTCTCATTACAGGAGCTTTATTCACTGATGTTTTCTTTGGACTGGGTCAAAGAGAAAGCTCAGATTATGGGATCTGCCCATCTTATCAACGATTATGTAGAATATGGTGAAATACTAGATAAAGAGGTATTTATACTGTTAAAGTTTTATTGTTATTGACGTTCCTCACAATTGCACATCTTAATCAGTTTAGAAGTTACAGACCAAATAACTAAAATATTTACATGAAATTGGCACAGAATACAGTTTGTATAAAATGGCCATATTGCCAAATGTCACTATTTTATTGTTGTGCCTCAGTCTGGACACCCATATATATGATAAACGTGTTTATGATAATGGCTTGTTGTTTTTAAGTATTTGTAATTAAAAAAAAATTTACTTTTATTTTTTATATATATATATATATATATATTAGTTTTAATTGCAAGTCTGATACATTTTAAATTGATTCTAAAAATGTAAAATAAAAACTTAAAAGAAAAACTTTTGCACTCTAACTCCTCATGCTCATTTTTTTTTAAATGAGCAAAACTGTGTGAAAGCAATAGAACATTCAGAATTATTACATGAACATTTTATTGCTAAAAAAAAAACGGTCACAATCTTAGCCGCAATAACACACCACCGCCTGTTCTGTTTAATGATAAATTGTGGTGTTTTCCCACAGAATAGTGAGGTGAGACTGCAGTTTCAGGAGTTCCTGTCTTTAAATGGACATCATTTGGAGCAGAGGCCGTTTCCTGACATAGTGCAGTTGGCTCTGTCTCAGCCCGTGTGTTCAGAGGTTTACAGACAGGCCTTGATGCAGGCGCAGAAAAGGGCCAGCAGAGGGCAGCTCTGTCTGGACTGGGTGTATGTATCTCACTGGCTCACACAGTAACTTTCATGTAGTAGATCAGATTGAAAACAGATTGATTTTGATTGAAAGCGTGTTTTGACTCTTTAGGAACAAAAATAATCAGGACAGTTTGTCCAGGCTGGTCATGCATCCTCACCAGGGGTCTGTCTACTATGCTTGCTTTTCCAAAGATGGGAGTAAAATCGCCTCTTGTGGGGCCAACAAGGCGCTGCGGGTAAATATCTATTTGTGTCCTGCTTTTTTTCCTGACATTATGTGCAGTATTATGTGACATCCCAATTTGTGTTTTTTTTTTTTGTATTCAATAGGTGTTTAAAACAACCTCTGGAGAGAAACTTCTGGAGCTTCAGGCTCATGACGAAGATGTTCTGTGCTGTGCCTTCTCTCCAGATGACCGTTACATTGCTACCTGCTCCAGTGACAGGAAAGTTAAGGTAAGTGTGTCTGTCTCTTTGCCCACTTTATTTGTGGATCAGTATCTTTCTGTAAGGTAATAGTTTGTTCCAGAATTTTTTTAAATATTCATCTTCATGCTGTGTATACTGTTTCTTTATCTTTTTGTTGCTTGACAGATATGATCACACTATACTGTCATTATGTGGGAAAGTTCTGTGTGAACATTGTTCAAACATCAGTTGTGAGAATGAGAAGTTTGTTTTGTGTTGTAGTTGTGGAGTGTTGAGCGGGGTACTCTTATCAGAGAGTTTGGGGAGGAACATGAGGAACAGATAAACCACTGCCAGTTCACCAACACAGGCCGACGTGTCCTGCTGGCCACCTGCTCAAACGACAAATTCACCAACACTAAAGTGAGATGGTTTTAAGAGCTTTTTTTTTTTTTTTCTTTCTTTTTTACATTTTCATTTTTAGTAGTTTAGTATTCTGTTTTTAGTTATTGAATTTTTTACCTTTTGTTTTTTTTTTCTTGAGGAAAAATGTTTTTACTTCTGCAGTTTTAGAATTCTTGTTAGAATTGTTAGTACATTTACATTTAGTCATTTAGCAGACGCTTTTATCCAAAGCGACTTACAAATGAGGACAATAAAAGCAGTCAAAACTAACAAAAGAGCAACAATATATAAGTGCAAATGACAAGTCTCGGTTAGCCTAACGCAGTACACGTAGCAAGGTGTATATAAATATATATATATACACCTTCACACACACTCACTACATATATATATATATATATGTATGTATGTATGTATATATATATATGTATATATTATACGCACACACACACAAAGAAAAACAAGTAGATAGAATAGAAAAAAATAATTGAAAAATTATTATTTTTTTTTTAAATAAGATAAAGTAGAATTAAAATAGAATAGAACGTTCTAGAGTTAGAGGGTCAAATAAAGGTAGTAGTTTAGAATTGTTTATATTTGATTTACATTTAGAATTGTTTTTGCTTTTTAGAATTCCTTTTTACATTTTTAGTCATTTAATTCTAGAATTTTTACTAATTTATTACAAAACTTTTGTCAATGTGAGACTGTTAACAACACTACAATTTATGAATACAAAGTTCTGATGAACTAAGTATGTGTAACATATTACTTTAGAGTCATGATTTGTTCAGTAAGTTACCAAGTTATTTCAATAGCCACTCCAGTGAAGCATTTTCTCAGAATGATTCAGACTGCTAACTTGTGAGTTCATGGCTATTTTTGAAATTCTTTAAAAGATTCATCTCAAAAGAATGTCCAGTGCGTAGCGGTGCAGAAAGCAGGTGTGTAGTAGTGGCGCTCCAAAGAGTTTGATAATTAAATCTCATCTACACTTTTTTTCTGCACCCTCCATTTCCTCTTTCCACATTTAGAGGCAGATTTGGTGAACATGAGTAATGAGAATGACAGCTGGTAGGACGCTCTCTCGCAACAGCAGAGGAGGGGAACGGGGCAGCCGTGTAATTTTACAGCTTGTGAAATTTGCAGAGAATTGTGGGAGATCTGTAGGAGTGTGACAGCAGGAGTCTGCAGTTGAGCTGTATTCATTTGAGGGTGCGAAAACGGAGAGTGAGCGAGCATGGGTGTCACAAAACGTAATGAGAGCACCCCCCCCAGTGGAGGCGTGAGCACAAAAGGGGCATTTCGTGGAATATCTCTGGATGAGGAGTGAAAGAAACACCCTGAAATGAGATTTAGAGAATGTAACGGCAGATGTGTTGAACACAAAACATTCCTGCAGACTAAATATGTTCTTCTCTTATATAGTCTGTCCTGTTCATTAGACCCTGACGGAGTGATCAAGACCCCTACACAAAGCATACGTTACCCTTTCTTCTATTCATCTTACCTTTTTGCCCTCTTTCTTTTCTTTCTGTCTTTGTCTTTCTTGCAGCTATGGAATCCCAACAAGCCGACCTCTCAGAACACTATGTTTGGACACATGGAACCTGTCAATCACTGCTGCTTTTCTCCTAACGACGCCTACCTTGCCACTTCATCCAGTGACGGCACCTTGAAGGTTACTTGACTGTTTCTTTGCTTTATTTGATTTATTGTCTAGCTGTTTTACTTGCCTATTTATTTTATTTAATTTTTAATTTGCCTGGTAATTTAATGCATTTGCTTTTTAAAAATTTATTTTTTAAAATATTAAATTTTTTAATTAAAGTCTTTTAATTAATAAAAGCTTTATATATAAAATAAAAAACTTTATTTTACACATACACACACACACATATATATATATATGTGAAAAGTGGGGACATCCCATAGGCGTAATCAAACTACTGGATCATCTTCGGTCAGTACAGGTGTTCTCTTATGTGTTTCTTGAACTGTTGTCTTTTGTGTCTTTCAGCTGTTTGAGGTGTCATCTGCGAATGAGTGGAAATCAATTGATGTCAATAGTTTTTTCCCAGAGAGTGACGATGAAATAAAAGCCATTGTGAAATGCAGCACTTGGTCGGCCGATGGCTCACGGATCATTTGTGCTGCCAGAAACGCTGTGTTTGTAAGTGATTTTGTGAGTGTTGTTTTGAAATGAGTGGAGTTGGCATTGCCACTCAATATTTTTGATTTGGTGCCTGGAACAGCTTTTTCTATATATATATATATATATTTTTTAATCTGATTCACATCAATCACACAAACACTTAAATTTAACAGGCATAATCCTATGATAATGTACTTTAATGCACCAATTCAAGTAAAAGCATTCATAAAACACAAATTTCCCTTTCAGTTATCTACTGAAGTTGATGGAAGATTTAAAAAAAAAAATTTTTATGTGTTGGTATTCCTATTTTCCCTGTGCTCGTGGTTTGTGTTAACTCTGTATATTGTCTTTGTATCGTGTAGGTGTTTGAGGTAAAGACGTCAGACATGCTGTTGGAGATGAAGACGAGTCGTCTGAGCACAGTGCAGTACTGCCACGCGTGTCCCAACAGCAGCCTGCTGGCCGTTGCTCTCTCTCATTACACTGTAGAGGTACAGCACACCGTGAAGAGAAAACAGTTTGTTAAATTACTCTGTAGCCAGCATTTCCAAACATACTTTGCCTCTTAACTTAACTCTGGGGTAGTGTTTTTGTTTCCATACCATAACTTTGTGTGACCAAGAGACCAAGATCTTTAATATTCAGGTGAAATGATTCACTTAAACTATCACACCTGCTGAGTTGCACCCCTTAGTTGTGTTTTAGCTTCTGTGTCTAAGGGAGATCCAAGTGTCTTTATAGTACACCACTGTTCATAGGTTGAAAGTTTTTTTTTTTTTTTTTTTTAAGTTTCTTCTCATCAAGGCTGTATTTATTTGATCAAAATACAGTAAACAGTAATCTTGTGAAATTATTTAAAATAACTTTTCTATTTCAATATTTTTAAACATTAAAAAAATCTAATTTGTGTGACAGCCCCCCCCCTTTCTATTATTTTGAATAGAAAGTTTAAAATAACAAATGCAGTTCATAAGTACTATATTTATTTGAAAATCATTTGTAACAAATGTCTTTACTATCATTTGATAAATTTAATGCATCATTGCTGAATGAAAGTATTTTTTTAAGAATCTTACTTATACCAAACATTTGAACAGAAGTGTTTTAGAAAACAGCCAGTGCAGATTTACATGACAAGTTCACAGGACATGCAGACATGTTGGTTATTAAGTATTAAGAATGAACAATGTAAAACATGGGATAAGGTAATTTTGATTTGTGTTAATGTTAGTAATGTTGGGGATGTTTTTTCTTTTTAAGTTGTGGAACTTTGAGACCAGTAAAAAGAAAGCCGAATGCAACGGTCATCTAAGCTGGGTTCATTGTGTCCAGTTTTCACCTGACGGCTCACTCCTGCTGTCCTCCTCCTCTGATCAGACCATCAGGGTAAGCTAGCTTTGGGCCCTCTCTTACTGTAGTGTGACAGTTTTTTTGCAGTTATTCTTTGAACAGTATTGACGTGTTATCACAACAAGTGTTAACGCTTGTCTAGCTGTGGGAAACAGATCGGGTTCACACCTCCTCTGCTGCGGCTCTGAAGCGGGATTCTGATGTTCTCTTCTCCCACAGTGATGTTACAATAGTGGCACCAGACAGCAGAAACCGATTACAGGTACAGTCCACCAGAGACATGCGCATCTAGTGCTAGCTTGCTGCTGTTTTTTGTTTGATTGCATATATATATTACATGTAATGTTGCATTTTGGTCAATCAGGTACGGACCGGATCGGCAGGTGCCATTCTGTTTGAGAGTGAAGAGTTGCCGTCCAGGATTCGCTGTACGTGTATCAGCAGAAATGCTTCATTTGTGGCCCTAGGAACTGAGGATGGAACTGTACAGGTATTTCACCTGTTGGGATATCATCATCTCCAACTGTCTCATCCTAATATTATACTCAATTTATTGGGTTTTTGGATGAGCATGCAAAGCACTCTGGGGAAAAAATAGCCTTTAGGATGCTTGTGGGTGTTTTGACTCCCCTCCGGCAATGAGATTTGCCATTGCTGTCAACTGCTCTCAGCCTTCTAATCTCTCGCCCTTCCTTTCCCAAACCCGTCCCTTCCCTTCTCTCCCTACTGAATTTCGTTGTGCTGGAGGCGAGTGTTGTCCTGCTGTGTTGCACAGTGTGTACTGTAGTGTAATAGATGTGACTGGTACGTCGGTTACAGCGGGGACGCCTAGAGGTAACAGCTGACTGATAGAATAAGCAGTGTTATCAATCTTACATTACACCCATTTACTGCCAAACAACCATTTATTTCGATTGCTCCTCTCCATCTCTGCCTGATTGTCTGTATTCACCTTAAAGAGAGATTGACAGATGGCTTTAAATAAGCAGAACAAAAACTTGAAGAAATGTACCCGGTTCAGTACAAATGAAACTCTGTTGACAGCCAGTGTTACATACTGTTTACCACAGACAATTACAACAAATATTTATTTTTATTTCTTTTTTTTTTTTTACTTATTTTTAAACTGAAGTTATTTTTGTGTTAATTGTAATGTTGATTGAGTTGAACATTTTAGCTGGAACATTTCTTTAAACAATGTTGATCTTACATTTTATAAAACAATTTGCAGCTTTGTTAATGTAAATAAGGCTTCCCTTCATCTGCAGTGATGTTGGTACCAATATGAAACACCAGAGGGCACCAGATTGTTACTGGACTGTGTAGAACATGGCAAGCATGAACAGCTCACTACTAAAGCAATTGTCTTGCAGTAAAAACAGTTAGTCTGTAATGGAGGGTTTCTTGCATGTCTTTTTTCCCCCCCAAAGAGATCCCTGGCATTATTGAAATGAGTGGAAAAATTGAGAGATGAGGTCTTTGTTTGTGTATATGTGTGCGCAGACAGGAAGAGTGAAAGTTAGACAGTTTCTGAAGAACACTGGATGGAGAGCGTTGCAGCTGCTGAACTTACAGCGTGATTTTGTGCTGGCACTAGGGCTAGAGACAGGTACAGTGCAGGTATGGTGAGTGGCAAGTGTGTGAAATGTCATGGGCTGTTCACACAGTGATTATTTATGTCACTTTCTTTACAGTGTTTCAAAAAATCTATTTGAAATAATGCTGTCGAATGTTTTCAAAGAATTCTGAAAAAAGTTTCCACAAAAACATTAAGCAGCACAGCTGTTTTCAACATTAAGAAATTATTCTTGAGCACCAAGTCAGCATATTAGACTGATTTCTGAAGAATAATTTGTCTTTAACACTGACATTATTTTTGTGTTCTGTACATTCATACTTGATTTCTGAAATCAACATTTTCACAGCATTTGATCACGCAAGACCAGAATACCAGCCCGCAAGCACAAATACATCTTATTTACTTTGGGCCGATAATCAGTCTGGCTATCCTGAATGCCACCTTGCCCTTTAACTTTTTTTTTCTTTTTTTTGTCATCTCATACAGAATTTTTTTTCTAGATGTACAGGTTTGCTGAGTTTTTTGCCATAATCTTTGTCATTATTTCTCCTCACGTTTAAAAGGCTTAATATATTTTTTTTTCTCTAATTTTTAGTAGTGAAATAATAATTGTACACAATCAAGTAAACAAAAATAAAAGGAAAAGTTGCAATTGCATTTGAACAAAGCTTTACTTTGTCTATCTGTCTGAAGGTGTTGGAGGTTCCATCTGGAAAAACTTCACTGAAGCTCACAGGTCACACTAGGACTGTTCACCACTGTCAGTTCACTGATGATGGTGAAACCCTCATCACATCCTCAGAAGACACCACTGTCCGGGTAATTCACTTTTAATTGTTGCTCATAATGAAGATGTGGTCTATTCTCTTTAGTTTTTTAGTCAAATAAAAACAAATGTCTTTACTTAGTAATTTATCACATTTTATTAACCAAACATTCCTGTGTATGTTTCGTGCTAAATGTATTTCAGTGAGGACAAATTACGTTTTTTTTTTGTGTGTGTGTGTTAGGATGTGGTGGTTTATTACGTCTTTTTGATAAAACCTTTTATATGCATTTTCTGGCTGTGAGAAAAAAGTCTAATTTACAGTTTGCAGGTGTAATTTAGTAATTAGGCCACATGCTCACAAACTTCTGCAGCAGCTGTTGTGTTCGTTTGAGAAGTTTTGGGCACTGGGTCATTTCAGGGCTCATTGTATCATTGGTGACAAGCAGAGAAAGTGTGAGCAGGGGAAAACTGTTTGTGAACTGCTGCATGCACATTGAAATTCTGTAGGAATGGATAGTGACAGTCATTAAGACCTTTAGGACTTGTGTAGTAGGATCAAAGTTTATCACTTTGAACCAAAATCAATACTTCAATGCTATAAGCTTAGCAAATCAGTTTCAGGAGACCTTAAATGTCAAAATTAACTTTTGAAAGGATGAACGTTGTCTTCGTCTGCAGGTGTGGAAGTGGAGGACAGGTGAGTGTCTGGTGCTGGAGGGCCATAAGGAGCCGGTCAGGAAGTTTCACCTGTTGAACAACTCTTCTTCATCTCACCTATTCTCATGGTCGTTTGATGGCACTCTTAAGGTAAACAGAACCTCTACTAATTTTTCTGCATTTGAATGAATCAATCTTTAGGACACAGAGAGTGTGAAGGATGACGTGAAGACCACATTTAACTCTTTTCTATAGACTGCATTGCTTTCAGTGCAAAACATGGTTATCAAGTCCAAATTGTGGACTGAAAGCCCAGTCAATCATGATAATTAGGTGATGCATGCAGTTAATCACTTGCAAACAGCTTTTTTAAGATCTCAACAGCAGAAGTTGTTACACTTCACCCCAGTTGTAATCAGGGCTTCTGGGGGAAAGATTGTTTATGTGGTCCACAACTTCCTGCCACTTTCCACAAATAGGGTACAAAAATGGGCCTGAACCACTTAAATTTGGCCCATGAAAAGAGGTGCTTTTCCTTGATTCAAAGTCTCAGTAAATTATAAAAGCTTTTCGATTTCCTGTTCCATTTGTATGAGGTCTAAATAGTTTTGAATTGATTTTTTTCTAGCAATAGAAAGAATGAAAAATTAAGAATAGAATGGACTGTTTTTAAAACTAACTACACCTAACTGGTTAACAGGAGTGCAAATTTAGTATGAATTAGGCTTTAACATTGTAGGATCTAGCATGGTTGTTTATAGTGTCTAGTAAATTCATGAATTACGAAAATTGATTTAATGTAAAAGTTTTAATGTAAAATATTCTTTTTTTTTATAGAATTGCATATGATTGCGTGTTTTTTTTAATTTTATTTGTTGGATAGTCATCTGCGGTGAGACAGGCCAAAATAGATACAGAAAATGTTTAAAACTAGCAACCCTTCATATAATTTTTTTTCCCCCTTTGTTTTTTGTTTTTTAGATAAGTTTATAATTGTCATACATATCAAATTTCAAAGTTTTAATTGTTTAACTCAAATCATGGGACACTGAAGGGTACCATATTAATGCAAAGCTCCTCCTGACATTTTCAGCAAAGTAGTCTTTTCATTTGTTTTTGTTGCAGGTCTGGGATCTGAACAGAGGACATATGCTGCAAGACCTTGAGTGTCATAAGGGTGCTGTCCTGTCATGTGATGTGTCCTCTGACGGACATCTCTTTGCCACCACATCGGCCGACAGGACTGCTAAGGTCAGAGAACAGAGGTCACAAATTCATACATCAGATCAGTGTCAGTGGACAAGATATTGTTCACATTTAACTCTCAGAGTTTCGGCTGCCTCTGTGTTTACATCCTGGGCTCTTACTGTGTGAACACCTGCTCCCGTTACACTGTTAGTTTGTATTCATGCTAGGTGTGAGTCGGTGTTGGCAGGTGCTAGGTGACTACCTGGAGTATCTTTACTGAGCCTTGGGTGCTTGCGTTAATGATGCCAAATACTGCCTAATTAACTTTGTGTGAGCACAGTACAAAAGCTCACAGATACACGTACACACACGCATAGCGCCCTCTGTTTGTGGTATCAGAGGTCCAGTCTGCTCATCTGAGAGCGTAATGAGATGAAGTTCTCACTCCGCTTCTACCAGAAAACCTTTCTAATGAGATGCCATGTTCACGTCTGTCTGCCAGATCTTCTACCGATTGGCGAGAGAGAGGACGGCAAAGTGAATTTGGAGAGCAGATCAGAAAAATCATTCATGCCAAATGGACCCGCCACAATTAATGACTAACTCTTGACTAAATTTCAAGCAGCAGTTTTGATGATTTGCTCAACTTTGTTCTGATTCCGATTTATTATATTAACCATTTCACAAAGAGATCTCTCAAAAACGACATTAGATCTCTTCAAATTACTTTACAGTTTTGCGCTTGTTCAGTTCATTCTATAAAATGGCTTATAACTGCTGATATTGTTCCCTAAGGTATGGAGCAGTGCCTCGTGGGAGAACACTTTTTTGCTGAAGGGACACAAGGACTGCGTTCGTAGCTGCCGTTTTTCTTGGAACAACAAGCGACTTGCGACGGGTGATGACAACGGAGAAATCAGGGTAAATAAAATCTTAAAGCTGCTTCATACTGTGAATCATCTGAGTTAAAAGGAATAAAGATCTGATTGTGGCCTTGATAAAACTTCAGAGGGATTTGAGTATGTGTTATGGTAAGGATTTTTGATATTTGCAACCAAATCCCTACTTTATTTATTTTATAAACTTTTTATTTATTTTTTTTTAACCAAGAGAGTAATGATGCCTAATAAAGGTACTCTCAGATCTTTTTGGACAGCAAGTGTTCGCAAAAGTTCTACATATTAACTGCACTGTTTTTTTTTTCTCGTTATGGGGGACAATAGTTCCCCTAATTGAACAATCACCCAAATAGGGTTGTAAAGAAGTTGTAATGGCAAAGGTAATCAATTACAGTGAATTTTGGACATCTGTGAAAGTGAGCAGATATTATGGCCACATTGAGAGCAAATGGAGATATTAAGAGAAGTGATGCAAGGACAAATACGTCTTGATGCCTCACAACTCGGCATCGCCTCCATGTCAGTTCTACCAAGCCTTCTTTCTGAGTTTTTTTTTTTTGCGGGGAGACAGGCCCCAGTGCTCAGAACCGTAAAGGAAAGAGCTACCTCATCAATTAAAGATGCTGCTCGCAAAGAGAGAACGTGAGAGAAAACCACAGAAAGAGAGAAATGCTGTGATGTTTTAATTCATGGCTTGTGGTGCTTTTTCAAAGCTCACGTCTCTATGTAACACTGTTTACTGCCACAGAGAAATGCCAAGTCACACATCACAGAGTAATATCTGTAAATCAGGCTTTAGTGCTGTAAAAAAGGATATATTTGCATTTGGCATTTTTATTTTCTCAAAAGTGATTTCTGATTCATACAAGAAACATTGATGCATTATAAATACACTTTTGTGGAATCCGTGTTGTGCCGTATGCATTTTGATAACCCATTTCTTTTGTGCTAATGTTGTATTGTGTTGTGTATCTTAAAGCTGTGGAGCATGCTGGATGGAGCTCTTCTGAAGATCTGTTCCCGGGACACTAAGGACTCCATGGACTCTTTCCACGGTGGATGGGTGACTGACCTGCACTTCTCCCCTGATAACAGAGAACTGGTCTCTACCGGCGGATACATCAAGGTACACTTATTATACAGATGATGTCACTGTATACAAGCAAATTCTTAGTGGCGCACCCTGGAAAAGAGCTGTTTTTTGATTAGCTTCATTTATCCTGAGAGTGCTGCATGTGCGGTTATGATTTAGAGCTGGGTAAAAATAATACAAAGATTTGTAACTTTGTTTAATTGGTGAATTAAAAATACAGCATAATCAGTGTAGCCTGAGACGAGGGTCTGAAACTCTGCTAGGTATAATTTACAGCGTCAGCAGATATTTAATTAATTAATAAATATTTATATCAAAATATACCCAGTGAATCATATTGAATTTGAACATCTGTTATTACTGTTTATTATTGTTATAATTATTATACCTTTATTGATAATAATACTTATTATTATAGTAATACTCCATTGCCCTGCATTCTTTCTGAGGCGTCGTGCAAATCTGCAAAAGTGCAACCAAGATGAAGTCTCGCCAGTCTCTGACATCATGACTATTTCATCTTTATTATCAGGCAGACGCTTGTCCAATCGCTCATGTCACAGAGGCACATTATCATGTCAGGAACGGAGCGAGACTAAGTTCCATCAACAATGTCAGCCATTATCCATCACGCATTGCAACTTCTTTATTAATACACTTAGAGCCGTCTTTACATTGAGTAAGTGTCACAGGCATAATGATGCTTCATCACGCATCAATCTGTCAGTTTATCAAATGCGTCTGCATCGGGCTGCCCTCTGCTCCTGACCCTCCGCTCGAGCGTGCGAGCGACGGATCCGTCGGAGACCCAATAATAAGCTCTGATTGATCGCCAGCTGTCCTCACACTAAGGATCTCTCTGTGTATAATATCAAATGATAAATTAATCATCGTCAGTGTTGGTTCCACATCCCCAGCCAAACCTCTTCATCAGACCGAACTAAATCTGCCACGACCACCCAAAGGAAGGAGGTGCATGAGACGTGACACGTCAATGGTGCGCTTCTGTTCCGATTTGAGAATTAACGTCACCTGCAGGATCCGGTTATATATCAGAGCATATGTTGTGTGAAGTTGCAATCGTAGATTAGTAAGTTGCTGTGAAGAATCCCTGGGTATTTAATTTCCTGTCCAGGTTGTCACTTGCTTTTATGTCAGACATGTGATATAGACAAACTGACATTTTCAAAGCAAAATTATGATCTGAGCCATGACCTAGCAGTTTGCAAATTTAGTTGCTGTGCTCGTGCGGCGGCATAAGTTTGAATTCAGCCTGCAACGTTGTCCTGTTTTCAACATCTTCTCCTCTATCACCAATTGTGTTTAAAAAAAAAAGCCCTCAAAAAGATTTAAAAAGAATGTAATGAAATGAAGCTGAATTTTGTCAGGTGTCATAATGGGACAGCAGCCTCGTTTGCTCTGTTAAACTCGGTTTAGCTTGTCATTCAGATGGCAGAAAGAGTCTTGTATATATCACCACGCCTGATCTTGTTTGGCACGGCAGCTCTCTGCGTTCACTTTAAGGTGATCTGCCTCTCAGCAGCATCTACATCTTTTGATGTCTGCCTTCCGCAGTTTGTCGTTGACATATTTCTATTTGTATCGAGCCATCAGCGAGGCTTATTCTTTGACACCACTTGCAGTTCAGTCCATCAGAGTACAAAAACAACTGACTTGACTGGCCTGCCGCCATCCACGTTTAATCTCACGGTAACGGATCTTAGTTCATTTAAAGTCAGACAGCAAGTCAGGGATTCATTAGTAATGGCATTAGTAAATGCTCACAGATTCAATATTCAGAATGACTCGAAGTAATTTGTGAGACGCATATATGTAGTAACTTTTTGTCTTCTGTTTTTCAGACAGTGAATCCCAAAAAAAACTCCCACACTGGCGAGCGAACCTTTTTTTTGGGTGCATGATGAGTGTCTCTCGCTTAAGCCTGTCATTTCTGACATGATTTTGTGTGGCAGTATGAACACTGCATTGTTTTTTTTTTCCATTTTATGACAAGTCGCAGCCAGCGTTTAGGTGCAATAACGCCACCTGTGTCGGAGTGTCAACCATATAGTTACTGGAGCTGTTTGCACTGTTATTGTAGTTTCATTTAAGCATCACTTTTATCATCAATACCTACTGACACCCCTAACTGAAACAAAAAAAAACATAGTATTAATCTGTTATTTTGGGAGCATTCTGTCCTTTTGTCTCTCTGTCCTCATTGAGACAGGACATGTCCCGACTCCAGTCCAACCCACTTTCACCCGCAGAGGACAAATCAGCAGGGCATCTGTCTTTTTATACCGTTTCCTTGTCTGTTTTCCTTCAGCTTTGTTTTCTGTCACATTCATCGGGATGTCTGAAGTCTGCTTCAGTCTATTTTTGCCACTTTTTTTCTTAAATCTAGCCAACAGGGTAACATGCAGGAAAGAATGATGCTACACGCATGAGTCTGTAGAACTCATTTTGCCCTTCACCCTGAGAGGTAAATGTTTTCTGTGTGTGCTTGTGATTTATAAAGGCTTCGTTCCGTTTAGCTTTCACTAGGGGTGCTCCGATTGATCGGCTACCGATTGCTATCGGCTGATAATTGCTTTGGGAAGTTTGATCGGTGGTCTCTATAAAGGCGATCTCATAAACGGATCTCAATCTGATGACGCGCCTGCCTTGAGAGGTTCAGCATGACATGCAGCGGCACCGTCTCGATCTCTGTCAGCCGCGGGTAAAATAATTATTATAATGCTGAAGGTGAAGTACAATTCATATTTCTTTATTAAATAACTTAAAGTAATTTGAAAACTTTCTGTGAGATGTAATTTCACAAACAGCATGAGTGTATCATCGCGCTCTCTCTCTTTCCTTCTCAAAATGCACAAATGGCTTCAAATCACCACATCGCGTCTGCACTATAAACGAGCTGCACACTGCACAGTTGACACAGGAATTGGCACTTGCACAATCGAGGCAGTGTCGCATCGTCATTAAAGTTTATAATTTGCATTTCCTTTTATTTTTAAGTCTTTCCAGTGTTTAAACCATTCAGCGAATCGTGCACTCATGCACACTCGAAGTGCACACAGATAAGGCCGCCTCACATACAGCTCACGAAATCAGGCTGTGTGTAAGCTATTGCTAATTTCCTCCCATTTTCAAAAATGTCTGTAAAAATCCAGATTGGAGCATCACTAAATAATTCTACATGATAAAAAGAAGGCTTCAAAAAGATCTGTATCGGTGATTGTGTCGGCACCCTTAGCTTTCACTCATAAAAGACAAATGATTATTGTAGCAGTGTGTGTGCGAGTGACCGAAATATTTCCTGGAGGAGAGGAGAAACGGATGAGGAGGTCAGCCAGGATATTACACCTTTAGCGAGGAAGAGGCTCAAACGCATTAAATCACACTGCCCCACTCCCTTTCTTTCACACACGTATAGTGTTGTTTGTCCTCTAGAGGGTTTGGCTGCTGTTGGGAGACTCATAGTAATTCACACACATCAGCTCCAGGGCATCCAGACCTTCACCTCTACCAGACAGAACGTTTATATCACAACAATTTATTGCTTCGGGTCCCACAACAGCGTGCACCTGCAAATAAGAGACTGTTTAATTCCTTTGTCTGTTTCTACTCAAACAACTGTGAGAAAAAAAAGATGCTTTTGTTTTGTAGCCGTAGCAATGCTAGACCGAAACAGCCCCAAGCACTGTTTTTGAGTTTTTTGTTTTTGTTCCCCCCACAATTCCTCTGAGGTGTCTGGATGCGTAAATGAGATGGACTTGTTCTCGTCTTGTTTGGCATGTTTAATCCAAATGAAAGTTAGACTTCTTGTTTGTAGGTAAACAAACATTTCCTTTCCATTTCGATTCCCCCCCCTACATTGGGTTGTAGCCTTTCATTATTTAATCGTTTCTGAGAGAATTAATTCAATCCATTTGTTTGTCTTTTCAATGTTTGCCAGTGGCACAACACGCTCTTGTACTGTAGGAAAAAGCTTGACACGGATTGCAACACCTGTCACTTGAAGGCTCTGCGTTCTTCATTTCTCTTGAGCGCACATAGCACAGGAAGGACCGCTTTGCCCGACTGTTATATCAAATGTAACAGTTTATTGTTTGAACAGTTCAATCACCTATCTGTTCTGTAAAAGTGTGGCTCGTGTGCTGTATTCCAAGCCTTTTGAAACCCTATGACAGGTTTTTGTGAGTAACCGAGCAAAATTGTAATTTGCGTGCTGTTTGGCCGAGTAGATTTTCATTTTTGAATGAATTGTCCCTTTAACTCGCTATTAAAATGTCATCTTGCACCTATCTTACGTGGTAGTGTACTCGATGAATCGTCCTGCATTTCAGTTTTGTCCAGAGGGGAGATGTTTGACTTTGAGAGAAATGGCTTTTTGTCAGACATCGGCCATCGAGAAGACAACCTTGAGTGCTAGCTTTTGACCCATTTGCTCACATCACCTCAAACTTTCAAAAGATTTTAAACGCCACAAGTTATGGTTTTCATTTGCCCGTAATGACTCAACTTTGACTTTATCTGGTTGAAAGTGATCTGAATGTTTAGCTCGGGGCAGACAGACACGCCGGTGCCATGACTCAATGATTCGGTCCAGACTCCCGGCAGATGACCCGTCAGAGCGCGTTCACACAGGAAAGATGCTACAGAGGCCTGACGGCACAGCGCACACTCCCGTTTCTCTCTCAGTGGAGGATTCCTCCGTACTTTGCACAACGCAGACAATAGAAAGAGCGAGAACAAAGACAAACAGAATAAAAGAGAAAGAGATTGCAGGAAAGAAAGGAAAGGGATTGTGTGTGCATGAATATTTCAGCCTTTGGATTTATAAAGGAATAATTGAGCTTTAAAGTCTGAGGTGGGTTCCCCTCTTCTCTTGGTTTCTCCACTGCTCCTGTGGAAGTGTAGGTAAACAAGGTGTGATGTTACTCTTACATAATGAGGCCTGCCCACGTGCTTCTTTTTTTTTTTACTGCAGGCCAGATAAGCATGATGGAAAAAAGTCAGACACGTTTATTTGAGTTGTAGAGTCAAAAATGGATGCTGTGACCGTTGCAGACATACAAGATATTCTCACGTGATGCCACGAAAGCGATTGTAAATAAGTCTACAAACATTGCCATTACAATTGTATATTTTAGTTTACAAAAGGGAATAGAATATCCTGTTTAATATGGAAATTTGACTTTATAATCAAATTGTGTTTTTGACACAAGCAGCTATAGCCCGGCCAACCCAGTCACCGTACACAGTGTTGTTGGCGGTAGATGCAACCCAAAATGCACAGAGGGTGAGGGAGAACAAGAAGTAATGGGCCGCTGCTGCTGCTAACTCTGTACCCTTGGGCATGTCGCTCAACTTCACCCCGCCCCCAGGGTCAGAGGATGACGGCTGACCCCTGATCTTCTGACCTCAACCATCCCTGTCTGCTTGTGTGTGTATAGAAATGTGATTTCTCAGGAGATATGCAGTTCTTCGCTTACTTCAATGCTAAAATTGTTTTTTCTTCTTATTCATGCAACACACTGTCCTTGAACCCTTCCCCTCACTCTCCCGATTGAGACACCGAGGTCCAGACAAGTCGGGTCCCCTCTCGTTCAGATCTTTTTAAAGAAACTTCTGGAAATCCACCCAGTCTGCTTTGACTGCACGCAAAGAATTTTTGTATTCTTTGGCATACGAGTAGAGTGGATGGAGCGGAACAAGGACCGGTCTTTCTCTCCAGACCGTACTACACTGGGCACCATGTGAGAAATAACGCAGCTCTCAGAATTAAAGTTGCGCCAAAAAAAACCCCATGAAAATAAGAGTAGGAGAGTTGGCCTTGGCTTGGTGAATAATTTAAGGAGGTCTTGTTTCTTTACTAGTGACATTTTTCTCCCGGTCGCATAATAGCACTTCTTAGCCTGAATTTGCAGGTATTTTATGTGCCCTATGTGTTTTTTGTGACCAGAATGTGAAGTTTGTGTTTGAAAATGCTTTCTCTCCATCTGCTGTCGCGTTTGGTCCGTTGCCTTTATGCTGACGTCAGGATGATGAGGAATGAATTTCAATACAAGCATACGGCATAAATGTCTTATTTATGCATGCAATGCTATTTAAGTAATTTTGACTTCCTTTTAACAGATGCACTAGCACCAAAACAACAGCGCGTATCATTTGACAGATGTGGTCTGAAGACATACGAGTCTAAAGTTTGTTTCCTTGACACAGGGCGACTTTAACTTTTCAAGAATACAGCGCATGCTCATCCAGCGAAAAGAATATATCTGTGTTAAGCCCTATTTGGACCGGATTAGTTTTCCACGAGGAGCTCAGGTGATTTTGTTAATCCTGTCCGAATGAAAAACAACTGCGTTTGCAAACGTAGCCTCGAGTAATTTACCTACCATCGGTCTGCATCGCTTGCCATCAAACGAGCTTCTGTTTGGAATGTAGTTTCAGAGGAAAAAATATTCAAGCAAAGTGGTCTAAATTGGTGTAAAACAATTTGAGTTAGCTAGTACAAAAGCGACATCACATCCGCAAACGTGCTGCTTTACCTTTAATTGTACCCTTCGAGGGCAGGAAACGGATGTTCCAAACATATCAAGGTTGTAATTTTTAAAGCAACCGTATGTGTGTGTCTGGCCGGCCCACCTTTTAGTGCTTATCCTTTGTTGTTATTGCCTTGAGTTTTGGGGACCATAGAGGCAGAACAGACTATTTTAGCTGAGAAGCCAGGCCATCAGGGAAAGGAAAATTATTTTTTTCAGAAAACGCACAAGCGAGGCAATGTGCTGTGTCTGAATGAGGCAATCGTGTCCCTCCGTAGTTCTATATTTGGAGGTTTGGTACACTGGGCAGAAAACTATCACGGCTGGTGGTGAGTTTTCAACACGAAACTAAGTTGTGGAGAATGAGCTTGTTAAATGCAAATGAGACCCGTTAATTCACGGCACGTGCCGTGTGATTAATGAGCCTGTCGGGGGGCCGTGTTTGTGCATCTGCACGCGGAGACCGTAAAAACAAGCACCGCGGTCGAAGGCATCTGTCGTTGTCGGTTTGGCCGGTAGCTGCTCGGTGGCCTCATTTTCTCAATGTGCCAAAGTAACAATCACGCAGCTCAGGCGCCGTAACCCTCCAGTGTTGGCACTCATTTAGCAGTTCTGTTAACATGCATTTGACGACATTTCCTTTGCTGCTTTTTTAGAGCATTTCCGTGCAGCCATGGGGGACAGAGACCCTCAGGTGTCATCATGTGGAAAACGTCAGACGCTGTGCCGTTGAAAATGCTGCAACGGTTACAACGACACAGACATTGAGCCCAGGGAATGTAGCTCATTGTATTTTTTTTTTTCTTTTCGTCATAGTGGTGGAGCGTGGAGACCGGCGAGGCCTTGCAGACATTCTACACGATGGGAGCCAATCTGAAGAAGATCCACGTGTCACCCGATTTTACCACCTTTGTCTCTGTGGATGGCATCGGTATCCTTTATGTTTTAAAGAAGGTGGAGGGAGGAAGCTTATAGATGTTGTTCTCTACAATGTTGGGAACAAAACATTTTTAGAAGACACTTGGGAGCGCAAGAAATGGGTTTGTTGATGACTTCAAATTCAATTGTAACAATTAAAAAAAAAAAAATTTCTTACTGATGTTTCATAATGCTGAATTGAAGAATCTGTCCTTTTCTATGACAATGTCTTTGTGCTGTCGCAATCGAAGCCAAATACTCTGACCCACATTAACAAAAGCCTTTGTATCTTTTGTTAGAGCTTACGCAGCCCAGCGTCGGATTTCCTCAGAGTCCATGCGTTTGAACCAATGCTTTAATGTTTAGTAAATGTGTGAAAAGAAGCATATTTTGGGTGATGTGCTTAAGGTTTGATTTGTGACAGTGGAGTTTCATGCAAGGGCTTTAAGTTGGCTCGCCAATTAAGTGAGGAACACTATTGTAACCTTGTTATGACTACATCATTTAGTTTGTGGGTAGGTTTCTCAGTGAGACTTGAAGAAAAACAAGGAATTACAGATTTTCAGCGTTGTCTTAAAAAAAAAAACACCAAGTAAATGTGTAATGATACAAATATGAAGTGCTGTAACCAGAGTACAATTTGTCCATGCAGGTACACCACTGGATTATCAAAAGGTGAACATGTAATTGTTTTTGGTGTTTAAGCATGTTGTAATGTGAATATAAAAATGCAATACAATCAATGAAGACCAAGGCAAGTAGTCTGACTGTCATTGATGGTACGATTGATGTTAAGGAATTTATTATTGGCACATTTGTTCTTCCCCAGCGCTTTACGGCATACAGCATGAAAGTAGATGCAAGTGATTTTTGCATGTCCCAGGTAAGAAATGTTAAAGAGCAAAAAAATGTAGATCTTTTGTGTGTGTGTTTAAAAGGGAGGAGGGCAGCGCAATGCACGGCAGTGCTTACACCGCAGCGGTCACGCTCCGTCTGTTTCTGACACTTCCTGTTGGCAGCTGGCTGATGAAAACAGACAGCGCACTGTTGTGTCTAAATGTCATTGTTGAGCGCTGCATTGTACAGTCAGCGGTAGACTGCATTAGTTGTTTGTGAGAGAAGTGTTTTTTGTGTTAAGTATGAAGATGTAGTGTTTTTGTTTTGAGGTGAGAGGAGGCAGGTCTGTGAAGCCCCTTTTCTGTATGTGCCGATCACACAATGACATTCTCAATCACCGCAACAAGCCACAACCTCACATCGCACTAGGCTGGGGTGCCCAATCCTGTTCTTGGAGATCCACCTTCCTGTACAGTCCACTTCCAACTGTAATCAAAGGCACCTGTCTGTAATTATCAACTTTTTCTGAATGACTTTAGTTGCTTGTGGGTTTAAAATGACCTTTGCTGGTAGGTACATCTCCACAAACTGGATTGGGCACCCCTGCGCTACATTTCCCACAGACCATTGACAAGCTTGCCATTCAATGATATCACATTCTATCACCCAAGCCAGCTCATCTGTGGTATGAACAAGAGCTCCCTCTTTTTACTTTTTCAGCTCTCCTTTACTGGTGAAATTGTTGCTAGAGGTTCAGTGAAAACTCAACTTTCTCTAAACCATTACATAACCCACCATAGCATCCCCAAGCTGATGCCACATGTGGTCAAAGTCTGCTTTGTTAAATGCTTTTTTTTTTTTTTTTGGCCTTATGCAGATGTAACAACTGATTTTTGGAATAGGCCGGGTGATTTTCTGTTCTATCCCTTTCCTTAGCATGTATTGACTATTGAGGTATAGAGATCATTTATCTTGTGCATCTCAATTACACATTTCAAACCATTTCTTAAGCACATTAAACAAGTGTTTGCATTTTACGCAATTGTCCATTTCACTTTTGACTAGTTACTCCACTTTACCTAATTACACAGTAGGGGTTGCATCGACTAGTCGGCTTAAAAATAAATGCATACTCTGAAAGCGCTCCACAAGACGTGTGATTATATTACTGGATGCTCGAAATTGAACGGGAGAATGCACGTTTTAAACAGCTTATTGTACAGGTTACTATGCGAGTACACAGGTATTAGGGACACAATATAAAGTGGGACCGATCAAATGACAATGGCAACGTGACAAATGTAGTACATCCAAATTACATTTGTACTACATACATTCAAACTATGCAACTGTTTGTTCTTGTCCTTGAAAAACTATGTTGCGTAAAGTAATTGCTTACTCAAAACAAGTAGCCTACCTTGGCAATATTTTGACACAGCCTCAGTCTTCGGGATAACTACCAGGCAGGCTTCTCGGAGCTAAAGTCTGCAAGAAAGTGGCCCTCCAGGAGCTGGATTGGGCACCCCTGGTCTAAGCGTAACTTTATTCCTATGATGGTAGTTGTAACCGTGACTACGTCTTAAGGGCTGATTTTGGGAAAGAAAAGTCTCTGCTGAAATCATCTGATGACGGACGATGGGGCGTTCGTCGTCTGACCTATGTGGTTCTGAGCTTGTTCACATAAGTGTGTGGATAAAGGCCGCTTCACTCTGTGAATGCCTCTTTACACTTCAGGCTACCTTTGTCTTTGTCCACCAAATTTGTCGAGTCAGGAAAACACGCTTTTCTTGCGAGTGACCTGCTAGTGCTCCAGAGCGCAATGTAGTCTGACAGATAAACGTTTGAGGACTTGGCCTAAATATGCTTCGTCTTTACGCTGATAGTAACAATCCACATACCGCTTTGGAACGTTTCCTTCTGTTCCCGGGATTGGGTGTACTTTTTTGAAATGCAAATATGGCGTAACAAAATGGGAACTTGGTGACATAACCACATTTACTGTTTCGCACGCGCCCGTCTGTGAGAAAACTTCGACCTAAACGAGGACGTGGGAGATTGCTTATGCTTTGCCTTGGGTGAGAGAGGGAAAGCTAAAACTTCGTCCCCTTCCGAAACGCATCTGGCCTCGTTGACAGATGAATGTGGATCTTCGGCAGGTGTAATTTCTCTTTCGCCTCTCCCGTCATTGACTGCAGGGGAGGTGAAGCCCTAAACGGGCTCGTGGCCAGTGTTGCCATGGCGGCTGGCTTTAGGATGCTAGGCATCCTCCCAAAAATGTCCTTTCGTCTCACCTCCGACAGTGGAGTCGAGGGTACTTGAGTTTGACGCCACAAAAATAACATCTTCGCATCTGAACCTTGGGCGCACAGCAATATTTTCAAAGGTAACAGCAGGTCGAGTGAGCTGTGGGATCAGGTTCAAAATATACAACAACCACTATCACATCAACAATTTCCACTGTCTAGAGCCGCTGTGTGGTTATGAAAATGAGTGTCTATTATCTTTTAAAGTGACAACCTAAAGCTGCATTATTAAAATATATATTACTTTTATTTGGTTAAAAATTCAAACAAACAAAAAAATTTTTTTCATCAAGTGCATAAGGCCATCTGTGTTCAAAACTGTCTCCTTTCCTTATTATACAATTTAAACTTGTCATCTCGATAGCTGCTTTTAATTGGCAAAATTCTGGGTTCGATTTTGCAGAAAATTGACATCATTTGTTAGTTTGACGTCATTCATGTTTGCCGTTTGCGAGGACAGGGCTACTAAATGGTGTGTGTGCGTAAGCAACTGTTTTAAGAACAAGTTACAAATGCTACACGCACAATTTAAACTTGTCATCTCGATAGCTGCTTTTAATTGGCAAAATTCTAAATGGCAATCGTCGTCAACATCTGGGGAAACACCTGTTGTCAAAACTAAAAAAATCTCCAACTGCGGAGAGTCTGCGGTCAAAAAGAGAACGTTTCAGAAGTCTGTGTTAAAATGAGAGTAAATGTCGGCGTGCCAAGTAACTTGCAATTTTATGTTTTAAACCGAGATGGCTGACCGAGCTTACTGTTACCAGAACCTTTATATCATTCGTCTTCACATTAGTATGGAAAGGTTTGAATAACAGTCTGAGCCAATATTAAGGTCTTGCATCATCTGGAAAATGTTTCTTAGAGCTCAAACGTGCATCAAAATACATATGTTTACAAGCTAATTTTAATTGATTACAATTTATTTTCTATGATATGCCCTGAAATTCTTCAAAAGTCTGGCAGATGATGACACGTTTTGTGGCGACGGGTGGACTTTTGCTGACCAATTAATGTGGATATCTGGGTGCAAGTAATAGAGAAACGGTATGCATTGTTCATTTACATACTACCAACAAACATTGTAATAATACAAAGTTGGTTGAAATTCTGCAAATTTATCCTTTAAACCATGATGGTATTTAACTGGAAATAACTGGCAAACCCCTTGCTAAAAGTTCCTATTACAGTGAAATCACACAAAGTCCACAGCACTAGTTCCAAGAGACTGTCAATTGGGCCTGCTCTAACATGGGATGTTTTAGCTCAAGGGTGCTCATGCCTGCTCTTGTATATTGCAATTTTGTTCCTGCTGTAATGCATCGGTCTAAGTTTCTGCTGAAGCCCAAGTGCTCGATTACCTGCTTCAGGAGCGTTTAATTAGAGATGCAGCTAAACTTCAGCTTTCTTTTGAAGCATCTTCAGGCTTAAGCACAGTCGCAGCATAACAGACAGTGTTTCTGGTAAGGAAAGGCATTAAAATGATAAAACTTGACTGATTGATGTATTACAGTACGTATTATTTTGGTGTTTTACAAGTAGCTCATTACTTACCTCACAATTGCGTGATCTTTAACATGTTTTATACATAGACGTACCTCCTTTGTGCAGTACCTGAATGATGAAGTAAACATGAAATCTAACAAATCAAATTTACAGTCTTAATATGGATTCTTGGTGATATTGTGAACGATTAAATGCAAAATAAATTCAATTATTTGCAAAATAAGCAAATAAATGACATACAGGCACACCTCAAATTGGAATTCAAGCCGCTAACAAGTTACAAGATAAGGACAACGTAAAATCTTTATATAGCAATTCTAGTCAGAAACTTTGGCAACACTTTAGAGACCAATTCTCACTACTAACTAGTTGCTTATTAGCATGCATATTACTAGCATATTGGCTGTTTATTAGTACTTATAAAGCACATAGTAATCCCTGATTCTGCATGACCTTATTTTAGATCCCTAATCCTACCCCATACCTAAACTTAACAACCACCTTACTATTAATAAGCAGTAAATTAGGAGTTTATTGAGGCAAAAGTTGTAGTTGCATGATATATATATATATATATATATATATAAACAAAGGGAACCCACATCTTCAACATTTTCTCTTCCATTATCAGGTTTAACATTACAAAATGTCCATTCGTGTATCGTGTTCCACTTTTGCTAAATGCTAGGTGTTGGTTAGCAATAGCTCATTGCAGGACATAACTAAACAATGTTATTGTTACACTTAAGGCAAAATTATAAAATGCTCACTGAATTAAATGGCCATAAGCGCACAAACAGTTGAAGAAATACATGTTAGATCAGGGCAGTAGATGGTAGCTTTCGATGTAGCTTTAATCTGAAATGATCTTAAACGTCAATATTCGCTGACATCGTTAGGTAAGCACACTTTGTTCTTTTTGTCAGAGATGATAAATGCTAGGTGAGGGATGTTGTGCTCCCCGCAGTTTGATGTTGTTTGTTCCTAAAGCTCTGGCCCAGTTCTCGCATCTCTCTGTTCTTTTTATATCGGCGTGACTGAACTGGTTGAACGATCGCAAAGCCTCCTTTATTTTGATATCGCTGCAGAAATCTATTTGGCACATTCTGTAAGTGTTAATTGATCTGTAAGATAATTACATAAATGGTTATCCCCTGACGCTTAATTTAGTCAAAGGCTTCAGGATACACACCATCTGGGATGTAAGACTACAGTTATCTCTCATTCTATCTTTGTTGTGAGCACATGATGAAATGGAAAGTGAAGGGTATCTGATAAAAGGTTACGGCAGTCGTCTCACCTCACGAACATAGGATCTTTCTTGGGATGCCGTCTGATTTATAAGGCTCTGACAGAAAGATGCTGTAAACGCTTTACAGATTGGGGAATAAAATGCGCTGCAGGTGAAATCAAGGCTGTAAATGTCTGTTGGATGCACATCTCATAGAAACGCTTTACGAACTCCTCTATTGTATTATTTAAAGTTTATAAAATATGTAAAATAACTAATCCATCAACCTAACAATCAGCTTTTAAGTCTCTATGATTTAGGTTGTTGTGTTCAATGAGCCTGAGCGTTGCCGTTCTTTGGGTAGTCAGTGGTTGTTCCTAGTCGTTTGTCTAAAACTGGCTGCGTAGTTTTTCTCTCAACCTGTTACTGCAACATAACCGAGTAGCGTTAAGCAGGCAATGTGGAGAAAGAAACGAGCTCCATGGAAACAGAGTGCACAAGAAGTGAACCGTATGTCACCTCGCCTGAGGGAGATATTATCCTGAAACGCACACTCCCGTCCTTATCACAACACAACTTTTAACACGATCTCTGGCTTTACTGAATCGTAATTTGTTGCAGCTCCCCAAAGGCCACTAATACGTACATACAGAGCTACAGAACAACAAGTACATACATAGAATGCAGAACGACAGATAGAACGATATACTGTAGATAGAAAGAGACAGAGACGGACGGACGGACGGATGGATAGATAGATAGATGGATAGATAAAATATTACATGGGTGAGTAGCTAGGTATAGATACAATGAGAGATAAGAGAGAGAGAGATAGATAGATAGATAGATAGATAGATAGATAAATAGACCGACAGACAAATAGGTAGAATGATGGATAGATAAAATATTACATGGGTAGGTATAGATACAATGAGAGATAAGCGATAGATAGATAGATAGAATTAAATGTTTAAATATGCTTTTTATATACCAACCAATTTTATAACCAAAACCAACTGTGGAGGCTCTGTATTGAATCTTCTATTAAGACACAAGGCTGCCAATATCCAGAGTATGTTTAACTCCACACGTAAAACCACACTATAAATACAGTAGCTGAACAGAAAGAAAGGAATGAACATGGCTCACAGAACGGACAATGGTTCTACAATCTGGATTTATTCCGTGTGCTTTTCAAGAATATAAATAAAGACCAAACTTACAAAATCTGTGTGCTGGAAGCCCAAGCCTATCTACACATGTTAGTTAGCAATGATGTCACAAATCCACCCCTTGTTCATACTGTTGTTTTCTTTTAATGTGCTGCACTTTGACCTGCGAAATTTGGTACCTTGTTTACCTATCCATTTTTTTTTTAAATCATTCTTTATACATGGTTTTTCTTTGTTTTTTTTAATTACATATATGAACAATGAGTCAACAAAATATTTATTTACAGAACTGTGGCAAAATTCTACAGTGACAATGAGTGAAAATAAGATATCTGTTGCCATCCGCACATTCAGTTCCTCCGTAGTAATATAATAATATTTTTTTGTTTTCACGAATGGCTGCTTATTTGAGCTTGACGCGTCATATAAAAATAATGTTACGTTAAGACGACATCAGACGAGAATTGCACAATAAGAATAATAATTGTAAATATTACAGTAATGGTAATATAGTTCTCTATTAAACAGTAAAATTTCTTGCCAATATATGAATATTAATCTGCGTGGCATTGCCAATTACGTCAACAACTGTTCCATAGTGATTTTGGCACGAGACGCATCAGTTTCGTGGTTGTCCAGTGCAATGAGTCCATTCACATTGTGCATATTCATATTTTTAGATCAATAACCATAAACAAATGAAATAAAGAAAGGAAGATAGAAACAAAGAAAACAGAAAAGAAAAAATACAGAAATTTATGTAAATGTCCGATTTTATCCCAGTCCAGACATGCCATGGTATTTTGGACTAGATATTAGGTGAAAAGTCAGTGTAGTGTGTCCGAGTCGCCATAGCGACAGTCCTTCCCCAGTCCGTCTCTCGCGCAACAAAGTTCTGTCGGCCGCCGTCCTTCAGAACGCAACTCGAATCGCTGCCTCTTGAAAAGTATACATTCAAATTCCACAGTCTCCTCCTGTTGTTGTTTTTTTATGCAGTGTGTGTGTGCGAGTGCATGCGAGTGTTTCGTTAAAAGGGTCCACGTCGGCAGTCCTTGTACGCGTACACCAAGTCCCAGGCGAAAAAGTCCTTGTGCAAATCCTTACACGTGTGTTACGAGAGGCTCCAGTGACGCTTTTAGGGTCCGTATTTGTGGTCCGTTTTTGCAATGCATGTGAGAGTGAGGGTCCATGTTAGGGGCAGGCTACATTCTCTGAATTCCACTGTAATAGACATGGGCGTCCGCCATTGCCCTGTGAATGAAATCACATCACTTATCCAAAGTGTCCATCAAAAAAAAAAAGCCCCCCCTTCTCCAGTTCACATGGACTGCATGCTTTCCATCAACTACACTGCATGTCTCAGGACTGGCTCGGGTTTTCTTTCACAGGCAAAACCAAAAAAAGGGAAAGAAAAGAAAATACGACGGGAAAACTTTTCGGAAAGTAAGGAATACACGCAATTTGAGAGACAATTCTTGGCGGGTGTCTCGTCGTAAAGTAAGCCTTCGTTAAATGCTATCTGACAAACTTCTGCGTCCACAAATTAGTTTTATGCTTAGACTGACTAAAACAAGCTCGTAACTCGTGTGCTGTTTAAGAAAAAACTAAAAATCTCCCCTAAATAAGGGAATTAAAATTACAGCAGACTTTTTTGTTTCCTTTTTCTCTGACAAGCGCTGGTACTAAAAAGTAAAACTTCACTACGAGACGAAAGAAACAACACAAGCAAAATGTCCTTCGTGTGAAGTCCAATCTCCATTCTATGCCAGCCATTTCAGATGCCCCACCTCGCAAAAATCTCTCCATTTCCCTCCCGCCTTGCTAACCCTACGCTGTCTAGTCAGAAAGAAACAAAGAAAGCAAATCCCGACAACATGTGTGTTTATAAGGCTTGTAGCAGCATTACGGTTTTAAGTTGTCATTCAAGCAGTCGAGGGGGGCGGTGGGGAAAGGCTGGAGAGGCGCTTCTCGAAGAAGCCGAGGAAAGCGTAGCGAGCAACGGAGGGGAAGGAGAAATCAAAAGAGGAGAGGGGGAAAAACTGAATGAAAAACAACCGCTTGCATCACTTTTTTGTGTGTTTTGGAGGAGGATCGGCAGCGTGGCGGCCCTGAGGGCTGAGCGGGACCTTCCCGTATCGTGCTGCGGCCAGAGAGGTGGGGGGGGGGGGGCGCGGGAGATCAAGAGATAGAGAGAGAGAAAAACTGAATGAAAAACAACCGCTTGCATCACTTTTTTGTGTGTTTTGGAGGAGGATCGGCAGCGTGGCGGCCCTGAGGGCTGAGCGGGACCTTCCCGTATCGTGCTGCGGCCAGAGAGGGTGGGGGTGGGGGGCGAGTGATATCAAGAGATAGATAGATAGAGAGAGAGAAAGAAAGAGGGGGCAAAAGATCAAAGGAGAGAAAAGACAGCGGCAGCGTCATCATGCAGAAGCCACGGTAAACGGGCGGGCTTGGCCGGGCGGAGAGACGCGGGCTTGTCACAGGTCACTGGGCCCGTGGCTCCGTGGGGGGCCTCTAGAGGGCGCTCTCTGTAAGGCACACACACAGGAGTGGACAGTATTTTGGGTGTATATTAGAAAATAGTGGTCTCATACTTGGTGTTGGCTCCTCTTTTGGCTTCCTGTCCTGGCTCGACTATCCAGGGAACATTGGCGTGGCCCTTTTGATCCATTGAGGGCTGCTCCATCTGGGGTGCACACAGGGGGAAAAAAACAAGAGGAGAGTGGGTCAGAATGCGCTAGTAATTTAGAAGGTTAAAGGCGGTCACACTGGATCTTGCGTTCCCTTTTTTTTTTTTTTTTTTTTTTTCATACCCCCAGAATTTTTCCTTGTTGCCACGGCAGCTCAGCCTTGCTCCACATAAAGCTCAGCTATACATGGCTCGGAAACGTGAATCGCACACGCGCACAAATGCAGGGTCGTTTACGTCTGCTGTTGGCTTGTCTTGAGTTCTTTATCAGGTTTTTCCATATGCAGCTGCATGAATATTAAATAACATAATCCTCACTCTGCCTAGCTACCTCTGACTGCTCTCAAACACACACACACACACACACACACACCAACTTCATTCTTCTCCATATCCAAATGCTTTAAAAAAAAGAAACAGACGCTAATCTTATGCAATAAAACTCTAATATGAGGCATCGAACTGAAAAGGAGCTTAATGGTTTGATAACACAGCTCAGGGAACGGTGAGTTGGTGTCTTGGATAAGAAATCTTGAAATATTTCTATCCTCGTTTAGTCAGCTGATGTTCTGGACGGACAGACCATTGCAGGACGACAGGAAAGAAGGATTCAGATGATGAAGAGATGAATCAAACAAACAGATCTGAGAGATGAGTTAAAATTATTTTCTGTACCTTTCTTTAACCTGGAATTTTCCTTTTAATAATTAAGCGAAAAATAAAAAGACCAAGAAAAATGACAAAATAAGCAAAAACATTAGGCCTGTCAATTTAACATAAATTTAGTGCAAACATTAAAATAAACAATACATAAAATAAATAATTATTCACATTTTTAAGTAACCGACAGCCCTAAAAATAAAAAATAAATAAAAAAAGGGGAAAAAGAAATCAAGGAAAGGAAAATGTTAGAAGACCTGAAATTGAACTTTGTGTGAATGATGGAGGAGTCGTGAGGTATGAGGAAGAGAAGAAGGATGAAGAGGAGGCCGGTGCGGGGTGAAAATATGCCCCATGGACCAGCGGCTAGAGGGGGACATGACCTAGAGGTGGAACAAAGAGGTCACAGAGGTCAAAGCTTGGGAAATTTAACACACACACACACGTATATGGGTGATTCTTTAATTAGAGGACTTTTATCTTTAAAGATGACAGATCAAAACAGCTTTTGTTTCTTTTAGATGTTGTTTCTTTACTTTTCCTTCAGCTTGTTAAAGACTGTTAAACTACAACTGGCAGAATCTCACTATTTTGGGCCTGCCCCCAATCCAGACTTCTACAATAAACTACCTACAGCAGATCGTAATTTAGGTCTTAAAAATGGTTAAAAGCTGCTGTCCAAGTTTTTGTCTCACACTCTAAAAACATGATCAGTAAATCATGGCAACTAATGTTTTTTTACATTACAACATCAAAATAAGTTGAGCAATTTCAACTTTTTTTATAAGTTAAATGAACTTGACTTTTTTTTTTAAGTCGGTTTAATGTGCTTTAAGTTGAAATGACTTGTACAACCAAGTTGATTATGCTTAAAATTTTAAGACAGCAACTGAACATAAGTATTTGAGTTGAAATAAGTGCAATTAGGATGTATTTTTGTTGATGTAGTTAAATTTAGAGTACATTTATCTGTTCAAGTTTAATGCTGTCCCCCCAACTGAGATTTTTCATTCATCTCAAAAGTCAGTTTTCTGTGCCATAAAAATCTCTGATTAAATTATAACATTGGATAGTTACATATTCAAAAATATATTGCCTGCTTAACTAGCTTCAATATAGTTAGCTGTACTTTTTGTTAGTAATGTGTAATGTAACTACTTTTGCAAATGGCTTGACTGTAGTATAATTACTTTAAATTGAGTATTGTGTAGTTAGCTAATTGAACTTACACAATGCCGTGAAACAGTATATATATATATATATATATATATATATAAGCGCTCTCAATCAATTAAAAAAATAACTAATTAATCATACATTTTTATTTTTCTGAAATTAATCACAACTGATCCCACCTAACATTAAAAGTTTTTAAATATACTTTTATATTGCAATAATTTCTAATTCAATCTTCAAATTAATGTAGAAACAACAAAGACAGTATATTTTTTATATTTGTTTTATGGCATATTTTTTATGACTGAAGGCGAGTATCACTGATACCAATACTACGGATGTCTCAATGACATAATAACCCCCCCCCCTAAAATTTAACCATTGACTATAGCCATTCAACATTACAG